GCACCACGGTTCTTCCGAACCAGCACCAGGTTTGACCAATCAACTTCTCTCCACGGCAGGTCCATAGGATCTTTAAGACTGTCACGGTAAAGCATTTCAAATCTGCAGCTCCCACAGGGTGTGTGTGTGTGTGTGTGTGTCGGGATGCTCCCGCGTGCGCATGCGCATATGTGTAGTGTGTTTGCGTGCTTGTCATGCTGAGCTTTCCACCAGAAGACCACAGGAACCTGCTTCGCTTATAATTATGTGATTCCTGTTGTTCTGCTGATCGGTGAGATCAGCCTCTCAGGTGAGTAACAATCAACCAGGAACCTGCACCAGGACCACGGGCGGTAGTGTGTGGGTGTGTGTGTGTGTGCATTAGGTGTGGTGACATCTGCGAGGCTATGAAACAATCCTAAGAGTGCCCTGTTGATGTCTGAATTTAAAGGGAGCCGGCATGAACTTGCTACTGAAAATCTGTATAGGCTCACTCAGACTTCGTGTCCCAGACCTCCTGTTTAGCAGCTGATGTCTGCTCACGTGGGGCTAAAGTCAAGAGTTGTCTTCTACCATTCCTCCCTGTCGTGTCAATGTTTGGCATCCAGATGGTTGCAGATGCGAAAGAGAGGACATTGGCCACAGAGGTTGACCAAGGATGCAAAACAGGGTGTGCAAAACATGGTGCAAACCGTCCAAAGCAAACCACCAAACATGGTCCAATTTGGACGAAGATCCTCTGCTTTCGACTCCTCGTCTCCTCGGTTCGACTCCTTTGAACCCGTTTCCCTCGAGACGTGGAGACGTGGGCGCGGACAGGTGGCGGAGCGAGCGAGCTCGTGACGGAACGTGACGCTTTTCGGTGCAATTTCTGAGTGCATTTGGGCCGTGCAGCTGACAACCCCAAGTTCAGCTGATCTTCTCTTCTGCATTTGCAAGCTTTGTCGTTCCACTTTTAAGTCATCAAAGACCACGTGACGGACATCTCAAAAGGAGCATGGTCATCCTCCAAAACATGCGTTCCTCATTCCTTGCGCATCCGGCATCCCCACATATGTATATTATATATTATTATATATATATATCCTGTACATACTATAAATATTCTTTGGCATTGGTTGGTGCCACCAGGTCTGAGCGTGGCTCCCGTATTGCGAGGGATAGTCAATCATCTGAGAGTCCGTGGGGAAACTGGGAGAAGCTCTCGGCAACCACCCAGTCCAAATACAACACGTCCGAGCCACAAAGCCTGGCTGCCCAAGAAGTATAGTGGTCCCTAAGTAGATAGAAACGGTGTCCAATATGCAGTATGCTTTTTTAATAGGGATCGACTTTTCTATCTATTTGGGAGGTCAAAAAAGGTGGGATCGGAAAGCTCCCTCGACGGGATGGTTCCGAGGTCGGTCAGTGAGTTCAATGGCATAGGTCCTCATCCGGAGAATCACCAGCAATCCCTTCGCCTTATCCTTGTGCTACAGATCCCTTTCTGGGGAGGCCCATCATCTCAGATCCAGCACAAGTGGTAGCAGTCATGTCCAGTACTCACTGTTTCGGGTTGAGGAGTTGACCAACTAAATCCAATCATCCCAAATTTGTCCATGGGTAACCTAGAGGTGCCACACTCAAAGCTGGAGTCGCACTGAGGGAGCGGTATACAACTTTGGGCCTTCCAGGTCAAACTTCCAAAACTCCCCAAAATGGAATCTGTTGAGTTGAATCATGTTGAATCTATTGAACCTTCACTCCGGTAAAAAATGAATTGATCATGAATGGATATGGTGCATGTATTAAGTATATGTGGTTATTCAGGGCTCCCATTTGGAGGTGAATCTTCAGCCGCTCGGTGGCCGCGGGGCACGCGCGGCAAGACCATGCCGTAGGCCCACCCGGTGCGCGGCGGCAGTGGACCAGGAGAGGGGTTCCTCGCCCAGACCTTGCCCAGCGTTGAAGCGGTCTCGGTTGCTGAGACACACGGTATCTGAGACACACTGCAACAAGAGACTGAGCAAAGGATCACAACATCACGGGAACTCCGGCAATGTTTCTGTCACTGGAGGCGTTGTAGGAAGGAAAGACCCAAAGGAGCCCAGAATAGTGGAAGGACTGGGCTAGTGTTCACATGTGGTCTGCTGATTGAAAGTGCTGCTAGAAGGGGTGCTTACATCATGGTAGCCCCCATACACCTTGCTTCCAGCTTCAAGAGAACTGACGGAATTGTCAGACAGCAATCCTTGAATGTGCCTGTTGTTCTAATACCTGCAACTCGGAGCTTTGCATGAACAATATCCTGCATGATTTTGAGTTGCCAGAATGACCCTCCGCACAGATCCTCCAACCGTTTCAGACCGGTGGAAAGCCGACCGTTTCAGCGGAAAGAGAGGTTGGTGGTCAACATGTTGATCGAAGATCTTCTAACAGCATTTCTGTTTGGACAACAGTGTTGTCTGTGCGACTGTGCTGTCGTTTGGACATCGCGGGGATGAAAAAGAAAAAAAGACCAAGCCGAGCGGGCGCTTGCGCTTGCGACACCAGTGGGCCCAGTGGGCCCCAAGCAGTGTAACGTGTTTGACCCATCCATTTCAGGAGAAAGAAAGGGTTACGCGCACATGTTTGTTCAAAAGAAAAAGTTCTACCACCCAGGAGATAGAGAGAGGAGAGCCATCCATCCTACTAGTAACAAGTGCATCGCTACTAGTACGTAGTAATGCCCTTGTTGCTAGTAGTAAGGCCAGGAACTATATAGTAGTGTCCTTGCTCCTAGTAGCGATGCCCTTTGTTACTAGTAGCCAAAAAGCCCACTGCCGCTTCGTGCCACTTCGCCTGCCTGGCCTGAGTCCCACCGACCTGATCTCCAAACCACCAGCCACTGAAGTCAGCACCATCCTTGGGACCCGTCGGACATGGCAGAGACGGTGCCACTGTGGTGCGGTTGTGGTGTTGGGCACAATCGAGGGAACAGTGGATGAACATGCGCATCATGGTCAAGGATGATAGTGAGTCTCCCAACATGGTGGAGAATGTCCTGCAGGGAGGTGGTGGACCAGTCTTACCTTCAGGCCCTACAAGCACGTTCCTGCACCATTCAGGCACATTCCACTATATAGTGATTCATGACTGTAGTCAATTACTCTTTGGCACAACCACGCACAAAAACCAACCACTAAGAGACTAGCCACTTTCATACCGACGAGGGTTGCCCCAAAGCTCCCTTCTGTTGGTATACATACTACGGTTTACAGACCATGCGGGCATTGCAATTGACGGCATTTCTATGGCGCATCCCTTCCAAGGGCAACTTCGAACTGTTCCTCCAACCAAGTCGACTGTGCCCACAATTCCATGGGCTTCTAAGGACACTCTCCCTGGTCTGTGATGGCGGCTTAACCCGAAGCGGTCGAGCCAGTGACCAAGTTGGAAGATCTGCCGATCGGTCAGACCGAACAGCACAACAAACCTCGCTTTAAGGAGTAACAAGGGCATCGCTACTACTAGCTAGAAGCTGCTAGTAGCTCCTGGCATTACTACTAGGAACAAGAAGCTACCAGCAACTGGGACAGTGGGGCCCAAAATCTGCTGGATTTTGGAGCCTTCTGGTGTCGGATTGGTTTCCAAATGGCCTGCATGGATGACATTGGGCGGTCTCTACGGAGTCTCGACATATTTACACATAGTCCAACCTGGAACTCAAAGAAATGTGCAGCCTCTCGCCAACACGGGAAACGGCCTGTTGTCATTCCGTGTTGGTGAGAAGGAGATAACATGTGCTCCTTCTGCCCAGCCACGCGATTGTCCCAGAAGTACAGGAAGACCTGACAAGACAGGAAGCAACGCGAGCTTGTCTTACTCAGTGACAGGCTCGGTGTCTTTTTCCCGTCAAATCTGGTTAAACCGGAGAAGACCGGCTGAAACACACCAAATCCTGTTGATCTACCCTTCTGAGGGGCTCCAGCATCAAATCCACCGCCGGAGCCCATCTCTTTCACGGCAAAGGTCAACAAAATGTAGTGATACGCAGTAAGCCCTAGACTCTAGACTAGTTCACCCTGATTTCCTGCCGTATTCTTGCACCGCTTGGTGAGACACCTAACCAAAACACAAGCAAACAAACAACAAACGAAAATTAAACAAAAAAAGAACGACCAACAGACCAACCAACAAACCAACACACACACACATACTCACACGCGCGGGCGCAAAAACAGAATTCACGTATGAAGAGACATCATGTGTTTTTCTCATGAAATATCTCCGCACTCACATCATGGTGGGATAGCAGAGCGCAGAGCAGGTCGTTCTTCTCTTGAGAACGCCATCCACTTTTTGGAGAATCTGTACACATGCACCTTCGAGCTGCTGTCAGTTCGAAGCAGAGTGTGCTCCCGGCTCCCGGCCAGTCAAACACCCCCACACACCCGAAGACTGGAGTCGCCACCTTCGAGGCCACTTTCACCGTGCGGATGTGAGGGCTTGTGAAGCACCCTGCAGACAGACCACATGGTGCCAAGTGCCCCATGTGAGAAACAGGCGACAGTGGGTCAAAACTGAGCACAACGAGAACCAGGGGACTGATTCTCGCATCCCTCCAAGCTGATTCTGCTCGTGTCGGGTACTGGTTTTGACCATATCAAGCCCAGCGGACCTTGGCAGTGAGAGTTGGCAAGGCCAAGCTCTCAGTCTTCCCACAGAAGAAGCACTGCCAAGGCGGATGGAACCAGGTTCTTCAAAGCTCAGAACTCCGCACGACTACTACAATCTTAAATGGGATGGAATGCCTCAAAAAAGGAGCGCTTTCAAAAACCAGCGTTTGACCAGGTTCCACCGCTTTACCAACTGGAGAATGATCATGAGCCAAGCTGTACACTTCTAAGAAACATGGATCTCTATGATCACTATATACGTATGCATAGAAAACTATGCATCGGGCTGCAGCTCCAAAATCTGAACCATCCAACACTCTAACCGGAAGGCAACAGCTTCACTCTCCAAAAAAATGATTTGTCAGCTTCTTTCCTTCAGCTACCCCCAAAAAGAGCAAAAATAAAGAGGGCATCCGTGGATTGGGGGTCCTGGATTTCAGATGCCGCGTCTAAAGTCGCGTCGCGGAATGCCGCAAACATCGCGGGGGATGACACCGCGGAACGCCGCCCGAGATCGCACATCCCCATCGCGGATCCACGAGGCGAGGCGGAAGATGGACCGCTGCTTAACGTCTCTCAGAGCCCAAGGATTGGCAGGATGGCCGAGTAGGTGCCGAAGACGAAGAGGAAGAGGCCCAAAGCCAAGAAGGAAACACTAAAGAGGATCTCCCGGCTGAACCAGGAGAAGTTCTTCTCATCCTGGAGGACATAGATTGGACTACTATCATGTCACAAATTTAAAGCTGCCACAGTTGAACTTTGGAATTCTTTAGAGGACAAGCTCGTCCTTGTGCTGCTATGCTTGAAAAAGGGGGCAACTGCGGAGGGTTTCAAAAATGTCAGGAGTGTTGACTTGGAGACGTTTGGGATACTCAAGCAACTCCAAGACCTCAAACACAAGGTCGACAAATATCCCTTTGCGTCTCCTAGTTCGAGAGCTTCTTATGAGCGGATAGAAAAATTGTTTAGGTCAAGCCGGTCAAGCCCATACTTTGAATAAAGCAGCGATGGCAGGACTTTGACAACAGCGTAAGGTTTATTGCTACCCCAGTTTCAATTTGCAGCACATTTGCAGCATGTGCCTCGACTTTTGAAGTATATAAGAATCTTTTGAGGTTGCCAAACGCCGACCTTCACCTGGCTGCTCCGCGCACAACCCGGTGCAAAACACCATCCGCGCTTGACACGCGGCTGCGCGCATCCTGTCCTTGCGCCGGAGCGCGATGATCCACATGGGAGGCACCATGAAACCTCAGAGCGTCATGAGACTCCCAGTGCAAAGCTAAATTTGTGCCTTTTAGCGGGTCCGCTTTTTCAAGGGACTTCACTAAGTCTAAGCATCTTGTACATCCTGGTGAATTAGTCCTTGGGGTTCTTCGAGCAGGAACATCGAAAATCCAAGGAACAGCCTACCCCACCCTGACCACCCAGACCCTCTCGCCCACCACACGCCCCAGCCACTGATGTAGGCAGCACCAAAGGCCCCGATGAAGTCCAGCATGGCCCGGAGGCTGGTAATAACCTTCACTGAATAGGAACATGGTGGAAACGAATGCTCTTTTTTCTAAGATAGAACCCCAACAGTAAACTGTTTGGGGAATGACTTCACTTGCCAACTACCATGGTGAAGCTGGAACCAAAACGATGCAAAAATATCCTAAATCACCTCATCCAGGTGACCACCGCGATGAGGACCACCAGGCAGACCGAGCCCAAGGCACAGAAAATGTCGTACCACCGCGTCAAGCTACGTCCGAAGTAGACCACGTCCTCAGCCAAATCATGCCAGGGGAAAGTGAACGGGCAACAAGATTCGAAAGGCTGCAACAACACAAAAACAGCATGTCACCTCCTCCAACGATGCGGATTGTCTTAGTGTTCAAGTGGGTGTGTCTTAGCCTTAGAGGTCGCAACCAAACACCTGGGAAAGGTCTAAGACTGTCTTGAGAAGAATAATGAAAAATGGATAGACAATAAAAGCCATTGGTTGGCTGTGTCCCCCATGACCACAGGGCCGTTTTCCATCTCACGCCTCCTAGCTTCTGTCTTCTCATCGTCGGAGCTGCGACCGCGGGCCTTGCGCACCAGATACGCCAAGAACTGCCGGACGGGATAGATGTGGAATTGGAAGCCTCAAAGTCAGGCAGTCGCATGAGGAATCGATCTGTACGTGAGGCAAGTCGATCTGTACACACGCAAAGTATCAACGTCAGGCAGTGGGACTCCACCGAAACTCAGGCTCATGAGGAGTCAAGAGTGAAGCGTCACGAGCCAACGCGTGAAAAGCGGATGGTTTACTACTTTACTACCTGAATCACTCAAGAACAGTCGTCAAGATGCCAGGCCAATTGGAAACAACTACTTGCATCTCTTGATGCTCGTCAGGAAACAGCACATCGGGAGTTGGAAGCCTTTGACTCAGGAGTTATCAAGAGGTGTTCGAACTGCCAGTGGAAGGTCTGAAGATGAAATTCCAAGTCCTTTAGTATCTCTGCAAGCAAACAAGGTCAACAAGGTTCCTGCTCAGCAATTGGTGGTGGGCAAGAAGCCACGGAAAGGCAGTTCTCAGGCATGCATGCGGAGGTGTCTCAAAAAAATGATGAATAGCAATCAAACAAGTGGAACGAGCATGCATTGCAAGAACCATTATAGCCATGTCTGGAATGCCCAATAGTTCATGCCCCATGCATATCCCAATGCGAGATGGTGACATGGGTGTGTCTTTATATAATAGGGAGACCACTCACCAATGGGTTATGAATGGTTTTGGTCTATGTTCCTTCTTCCAGAGAGTCTTTGGGAGGTCTCCCTATTTTGATACACATCCACATCACGACTCATCACACATCACACCCCTCATTCCTTAGCCTGCTGGGAACCAACCCAGACTCCGATGTGTCACCCTGCCAGGCCACAGGTGAGGACGCTGAACATCACTGCAATCAGCGAGATCAGGACGTGGATCTCCTTCGGTGGGACAGGTCAAAGAGATCAAGTACAAACGGAGGAAAATAGACAACTGTACGAATTCGACTGGTTTTTGGATGTGAACGATGTCTGGAAAGGGTCGACATCAAAGCGGCTATATATGAGCTTCTGCCAAACTGTCAAGTAGAGGACATACTTCAGCAAGGTTGTCGCTTTTGAGGGGAGCCTATCGCTTTTGCAGGTTTTAGCCACAATGTCAACATGGCTGATCTTATCCAAAAGCTGTGGAAATAAGTTTATCGGAGTTTATCGCTTTTGAGGGGGGCCTATCGCTTTTGCAGGTTTTAGTGCAATTCCTGAAAATCATGACCGCTCTTTACTAAATTAGTCATTGCATGCTTTGGCGGTTGCTCATATAAGTCCTGCCACGTGTAGTCAGACATGCGGCTGTCTGTGTGTTCTTGCAATAACTACACGTGGATCTCCTTCAGTCCGGTGGGACAGGTCAAAGAGATTGTGTACGAAAACAGGAAAATAGAGGAACTAGGACAAGGACAAACTCTACTACAGTAGAGCTTCGAGAAGTAGCCTATAATTTGTCGCCCTGGGCTTTCTCTTCCTTTCGTGTTCCTCCAAATTCTGGGATTGATATTCCACCGTGCGGATTCTTAGTCAGTGGGATACCATCCAGACTCAACAAGTGCTGCTCGTATGCGGCCCTTCCTGATCAGAAAATACCCACTAAAATCCGCGCCACTGCCACATACCCATTGGCTGACAAGTCATTCATTTTGCAGAAATCTTAACGAGCCAACCGAATGTCAAAAAGGAATGAGAAGCAGCAAGGCAAAGGTGGACAATTTGTCTTAAACTACATGAAGCAGGTGCTTCAGCAACGTAATTCGGAATTCAAGCACGCTTTAGATATATTAGTACAGTATATTATATTAGCTTCTTTTATTCTTGGTTCACAGCTCACAAACTCGGGCGAGGTGGCCCGAAGTTTCAGATGTTCATGTAGGGTCGTGCTCTTCTTTCAGGCAGTCATGGAAATACTGCTGATGGACAACATCCTGCATCACCTGGCAACTACAGGGAGTCCCTTCGGGATTCACACGGGATTTCATACTGTGACCCATGGACATGAATCCTACAGCCAGTCCAATTTAGAGTATGATGGGGATGGCCTTTCTTGTCCTGGGGCATCATCCACAGCTTTGGACCTATCGAGGTAGCTGCCTCTTTCCTCCTAAAACCTACACTAACTCCTGGGAAACTTGCTAAGCTAAGGAAACATGGACAGTCACCAAACAGTTTTCTTCTCCTAGACGAACACACCCCACAACTGCTCTTTCATGTCACCACACAGACACCTGGACTCCAATGGACTCCAACTCCAACGGACTCCAACAACTGGACTCGGCGTGCGCCTGTCCTTTCGCACGGGCATCAAGTCCAAGATCAAGGAGTCCTTCTGGTTCTCGGCCACCCCAAAAGCCAGGACGCCCAGGATGGAGACCGAGGCGTAAAGGAGGAAGCCTTGGTTTTTCGCCGGACCGAGTCGCCTCTGCAAAGATTGCCAAAAGATCATGTTCGATTCATACCCGATAAGATATATATATATATATCACTATGTATCTGTGTATGAGGAGCGCTTGGATCCAGGTTGTGTAAGTCGTGTTACCAACGGATCATGTTGCGACCGACTCTGTGCAATAACCGCTCTTTAAAAAATAAAAAATAAAAATATATATATATATTATAATAATAATAATAATAATAACAATAAATTAAACTGCACAGCACATAGCATTGTCTTGTTGTCTCTTCGCATCTTTTTGTCTCAAGAGTCAAGAGTTCCTGATGAATATCTGGTGTGCACCATGTCCCAAATGAGGCTTGAGGCAAACAAGAAGCTGATGGAGGTGCTCAAGAGCGCCACCTGAAAAGTCGTTGATGCCGGAAGCTCTTTGGGGTCAAAGTCAGTACGGGGCGGGGCAGTCTGGGTGGTTCGGGATGGGTGACTGGAATGTCGGAGGAATCCATCCACTTGGTGTAAATGCCACCCAGTCTCTTGAACTCTTGGTGATTATAATCCGGAGTAGATAGCAACCATGAGTTTAAAATAGCAGCATGCATACATACATCTGTTACAGTAAATCTGTTATTGAATTCATCCACGTTCAACCGCCCTCGCCTCTTAGCTATCTAGATACCTACCTATCTATAACTAGCTGGCTGGCAGCTAGCGAGCAAGAGATAGCGACCTACCAACCTACCTACCTCAGCCACCTACCTGCCTTTACCTACCTGGGATCGATTTTCGCCACATGTCACGCGCACATTAGGAATGCTTCAGTTGGTTTGGCATGTCCGGTCCTAACCCAATACACCCCAAAGAATCCACCAGAATCAATAATGCCCTGGAAGCGTCTCGAAGCAAAACTTGATATTTGAGGCTCCTGTTCTGGCTACCTCAGATTTCCCAAGCCCCTCTTCCAGAAACTCAACAGCAACGCCGCGTTGTAACTCCCTGCACTCGTCCCGCCCGGAACGCGCCTTCGTCATGCCATTGCGGCTGGGCTCGGGCGTCAGCTCCCCAGTGAGCTGCGGGACGTTGAACCTCGGCAGCAAGTGGGGAAAGGATTGGGAAAATCCATTTTAGACGAGGAAAATGATCTTCAGATGGGGTGAGCATGAGTGAGCTGTGCACTTTTAAAAGGTCCAAGCTTTATAAGCAGTAAGCAAACAACTATCTTGGTATGACCTCGACATGGTTGCGCCACAGCTTCAGTCAGAAGGCTGTGGGTCATGATGGAACCATGTACCTCAGTATATAGTTTTCGCATCCGAGTTCACCACAAGAACAGAATCGTCAAAACCAGAAAAATCTTCAATGAATCACATGACTTTGGGCGGTTTTGTACGAACAAGCGCCATGTATAGCACCTATGATATCCGATAGCCCCCAAGTTTCAGGGTGGTAGAAGTCCCCTTTTCTCCGGCTGAATCGGGTCCAGCGGAAGACGGACTGCTCCAACGGTCAGAGGGCCAAGACGAGCCGAGCGACCGAACGGCCTGCCAAGAGGCTGGTTGTTGTAGGCGAAGATCATGTTGTTGATGGAGTTCATGTAGGTGATAAACGTAGCTCCACCTGGCAACTGCTGTGTTCTCCAGAAGGGTCAAGCCGTGGGGCCTTTGGCTGTCTTTTGAGTGTCTGTAAAAGAAGGGGCAAGATGAAGTCGTCATGGTCATCGACTCTCAGCATTAGGAGCCACCTCGAATACTAGCCGGTTATATTTTTCTTCGGCCTTACTTTCCACCGGCGCACTTGCAGGCAATGTTTGCCTACCCTGGTGGTTTTAGGTCTTGACTTCATAGGCAGAAATCACCCAGAGCCAGAAGCCTCTACTTGTGTGCTCAAATGTTGGGAAAGGGGAACAAATTGTTCCACACGTCTTTGACACATCTCCACCTGGGCCCAGGAGAAAGTTCTCCGTTGTGACGCTCTCGTCGATGCCCCGGTCACCTCGTGCCAAGGCTGAGCGATAGAAGTAGGCCAAATTACCCGGTGAAGGTGGAAATGATCATCTTCCAGGGGTCCAGAACTTGCAAACAGCGAGACTTGCCACTTGCCACAAACAAAAAAGAGGTCTTGGATTCCTGCGCCGTAGCCCAACATGGCGGATTCTCATCATGATCTGTTCGTCATACCCCAAAAAGGATACTCAAAAAGAACCTTCACGGCTTGACATTCGCATTCGCAAACAAGAAGCAACAACAATAGTTGAGAAAAAGTTCCAAAAATATATGAATAGATTCAGATCAGGAGACTCGTTGTGGCCTCACAACGAGTGGAGCTCCGACGTCTCTGACGTCGAGTCCCATCGTGCTCCGAGCGGCCCATGTACCACGCCACCACGATGACGAGGAGGATCAAGGCACCGACGCTCAAGGCCGCCAGGTGCCGCATGAAGCCCACCTTGGGGAGACATGAGCTTACCCCAAAGGATCCCGAAGGGATCGAAGGAAAAAGAAAAGATCGAAAAGAATGGGAGACTGGCGAGAAAAAAAGGAGAACAGTTGGAGGCCATCGCTCTTAGGTTGGAGGCCATTGCACTGAGACCTTGTACCTGAGGAGCTGAGGCAAATAAACCTATAGAAAGGATCACCAGTTCACCGGTGGATCTTCGTGCAACTAAACTACTAAACTATGGTGCTGACCCTTGAAGTGGTCATGTTCTGAAAGCTGACCCGCCTGGTCCTTTCGAGCGTCCAATACCCCAAAAAAGGGAGGGTGGCCATCTCCATAGCTTCAGGTATTGCTACTTGCCAACATCAGCGTATTGGCTCGTGGCTTCGTCCTTTAGTGGAATCTATTATTATCATATTTTATCATAGTCATCCCGACACCTAAACTTCAAGCAAAAGGAGACACGCCTTCTGAATCGGAAACCTCTGATCAATCAGCTCCCTGGTCCGCAAGCAGAAAATAGCCGTCACCGACCCAGAATGGCAGGCCCTATGAGTCCGAGCTGCATGTCGAGCCAAAGCCATCGGGCAGCAAACGAAGATCCCCACCAAAACCTAGTCGGAACTGACTGCAAGAGGCAATCTTCACACCTCAGGTGACCTCATAGGTGATCTGAACCACCTCCGGGAAGTCAACATCAATTGAACAAAGCTTGGATCAACATCTTTATGGTTGGTAGGGCACCTATCGATACCAAATATCCACGCTTGGCAGTAGAATTGCATCTGACTGGTCAAACTCCGACCAGGCCATTTCTAAGTGACCTCATGCCTTTTTCGAAAATATACTTGTTTTATATATATTATATTATCCTTCTGGTCTTGGGACTCCCAGACTTCTGGGTAAGACGGCTAGACGACTGCTGAACTACTTGGGGTCGATTTCTACGTCTGCACCAAAGGTAGCGGGTCTCCAAAAGAACCCAACCTGACTCCAATGCGAGCAACCACGAAGAGGTTCCTGGTGGCGTTGTCCGCCTGGAAAATCACCACGAAGACCTGACGCAGCACCGGTGATCAAAAGGGGCTGACGCAGACCGCGTGTCACCACCTGGTTCATCAGCCCTGTGTTCAAACCTGGAGGTTCCGAGATGTCCCAACAAGCCCCATGAGCGGTAGTTTTGGCTGGTTCAGATTGGTGACCCCTTGGAAGGTGTTGGAAGAAGTCGGTTTTGGCACTTCCATCTACCCAACGCAAGCAGACTGCTCTTCAGCCCTTGTGTCAGGTGAGTGCAACAGCTGAACTCTTTTGGGCCAAACCAGGAAAGAATGCACAGAATGTGCATGCCATTGCCATAATCCTGCAAACGTTACCCACATGAAGCACTGGATGTCTACTCAACACCAGTAGCACTGGGTCCTACAGGTTCGGGCTTAATGTGCCATGTTCACAGAACAAGGGGCAGTATTCTGATGCTAAGTAAGGCCTCCCAGGGTGGGGTGAACAGGTGAATTACTAAATGTCCTGTTGGATGAGGTGCAGTGGTTTCAATCTATACATATGTGTTTACAGTATAAATGTATAATCATATGTCCTATATATATATTATACTATATTATATTATGTTATATTATATTACATTGTATTATACATAAACCACACTGATTGATGCCACATCCTGAGCTCTGCACCTGTCCACAAACGATGAGGTATCCGGCAGCGGAGCCCAGGCAAACGCAGGCGTTCATGAAGCCGGTGAAGATGGACATGACCTGATCACATGCAACAAAGCCGCCTGGACTCCTGGACTTTCCATGCGGAGAAGAATCTCGTAACTAGTGAAGGCACTTCATTGGCACCCACTTGGAAGCTTCTGGTGATCTGAAAATCCATTCAAACAGGTGACGGCGTTGCTCCTTTTTCTCCGAGATCTGTCGCCACGTCTTGGGATACCTCCACCCAACTCTCGCCCAGGGCGACGCCCGGCGACGCAACCTCACCCTACAAGTACCAGCAGCACCCTCAAACCTCCCCTCATCTCCACAAAACTGCACCCACAACCCAAAGCGAAAGGAGGGCGCGCGTACGGAGGGCGTAGGTCTGAGCCGCCGAGGCGCCGGGTGGAAGAGCTCTTCACAAACGTCTTCGAAGCTCCACTTCTTCGTCTCAATGGATGCCACTGAGATCATCCTCGAGCAACGGCATCAGTGGCCCCTTGGGCGCCCTGTTGAGCGTTGTTGAGCGTGTAAGGTAGTAACAGAAAAAAGCTCAAGTTGGGGATGTCCAGGCTTGACCATTCTCAGGTCATCAGCTCCATTTACCTGATTAGCAACCCGTTGGCCTCCATGTGAACACATCCAACGAACAAAAAATGAGGGATGCGTTTTCCATGTGTTGGATGTCCATGTGTTTTCTTTTTCATACTTGGAGAGTTGAAGACGAAGCATCCGAGACACCACTTCAGAGCTTTCGGATAAGGATTGTCGATGTGGACCAAGAATACCGTACTCCATTGTCCTCTGCACCTGGTGTGCTTAGACACAGAAAAGAAGGTAAAGCGCGAGATGAATCAAATGTTCGACCCCTTGGAGATGGACAAACTCTTGCACCAACGTCGGATACTCTAAACCCAGAAAATTATTGCATATCCATGGATTTCCTCTCTACCTGGCTGTACAGGATGTTGTCTGTTGATAGTACTTCTCAAAAGCTTCCAGATAATTCCAGTCATGTTCAGTCGTAGGATCCGGATACTCAGCACTGTCAGCATGCCACCCAGCCTCGGACATCAAAGCACTGCTGGGTCAAACTAGACAATCCCTCACCTTACTCACCTTAGCGTTTCGTTTTCATCGTTCACCATGTTATGAGGACAGGATTGGGGGTCTTCCTTTGGTGTTTCCTTTGCAGTCGTGTCTTTTTGGCCCCAAGAAGCTTAAAGAGCAGATCAACCATCCATGGCTTTAGCCCGTCACCGTCCGTCACCTTTGGCTAGCCATTCAGTTCGGTGTTTTGGTCATTTAACCTCAAAACCACCCATGAAATATGGGCCTTCCAATAATGAGGAGCCGGTGTATCAAAGTATCAAAGCCCCTACACGGCACGATAGTCTGGGTTCGCAGGGGCTGTGTAGTGTCCTGTTGATGAGACCTTGCTTTAAATCAGGTAGCAGAGACCTGATTCTCGGCAAATTTACATCTTAAGCCAATGTGCTTCACCCACATATGCACCGTAATAGGCAGACCCAATGCCCTAGGGACCCACTGCACTGACTAAGGCATTGTTTTCACAAAAGATCGCAAGGCATTCAGTGGTTAAGGCTTTGGTTGATGTGTCCACATTGCGGAGCTCCATTGGTCCAGGCGCACTATATACTTCTCGATTCAGACATCTGTTAGACACTCAGACAAGCTCCCCAACCCATCCAGGCGTTTATATCATCTTCTATCTCTCACAGCGGCCGAAACCCGCTCCTGACTCTTGACACTCCAACGACTTCTTTCATTCCCACCACTCCTCTGCCGAGCTCTGCCGAGCCGCATGAGGCACGCCAGCTGGTAGAGAGCCCCCACCTCTGCCGCGTGCACCGACACCGAGAGCACCCCAGCGCCGATGGCGGCCTTGCTCAGGCAGATTGCAGTGGGAATCACGCCGCCCCGGCGGAAGGAGCTCTGGCGCTGGAGCTTCCTGAAGACCCAGCTGTCTCGAGTGGAAGCAGTGCTGTCAACAAATACCAACAAATCGCAACTCGACATTCCCGGGCACCTTAAAAGAAGCACTGATGTGAAGGGGAGAACAAACACAAACCAATCTCACACCATCGCGCAAAACAATAGGGAGACACCGATGATTGTTGTTCGTCCTTGAACTTTGTTTCTATCCTTTTTTTGCCCTTTCTACTCGTTGTTGAGTTTGTGTGCTTTTGCATACATCTGTTTCGAGGGAAATAAATACAATGTGCTTGCACCACGCAGCGTTGGCTGCATCTTCGCCAGGGAGTCAGTGGTCGAGACCTCGCTCACAGCGGTCTCCAGGTCGACAGCCTCTGCCTGACGGCGGATGCCACGAATCGGCGAACTCGGTCAACAACAAAGTCTGCAGTTGGCGCGATGGCCAGGAGACTGGCCGGAAAAACATCTTTATTGAAGGAAGCAAAAACAATCAACACGATGTACTGCAGAAGTAAGGAACTTGAAGAACGGAGACCTTCGGAGGGAAACTCTATTCCTTTCATGTAAAGGTCGGGATGGTTCACCGACTGAGGTCAACAGAGCCGTGAAGACTTGTTGGGCGTCGGACCCAATAAAAGAATAGAGGTTGCCGTCGTTCAGAGGCTTCCCCGAAGTGGTGGGTGAAGAGCAAAGGAAGAGGGGAGACAAGCCTAGCGGCCTAGCGAGCCTAGGACATCGTGAGACTCTACTTGATCCACATTGACCCCACCAAGACCAAAAATCGCTGGGAGCGGCTGGCCTTTGCTTCCACGGCCATCTTCCTGTTGTAGGTTCTTTGCGCAACACACCCGGACTCTTGAGATGAAATGCTGATCACATATGCAGAACATGACATGGGCGACGTAGAGCAACGTGAAAATGGATCCTTTGCTGGCCCGCATGGATCGTCAAAGCCGCGACAAAATTCCGTTCATCATTCCGTGCCGGATCTTTTGAAAAACTGCTCTTGCAGGGCCTGGTTGGTCTACTTTTTGAGAAGTCCGCCCCAGAAAAAGGGTCTGTACACTTGCAGCACTTCATGCAGTTTTGAGTTCTCAGTCTTCTCATGGAAGAAGCACTGCCAAGGGTGGAACCAGGTTCATCGGCAAAACTTAGAGCTCCGCACTTAAACTGTATATGGACGAACATCTGACCAGGTTCCACCACTATACAAAGAATGATCATGCACCAAGCCATACACTGCTTATAAACCCAGATCTCTATGATCACGAACCATGCACTTTAATTGTTTAGCTATACATCTGGCTGCAGCTCCAAAATCTGAACCGCCCGATGCCTAGACAGGAGAGCAACAACATCAGTCTCCAATCCAAACATCCTATTTGCCAGCAAAGGGCATCCGTGGATTGGGGGTCCTGGATTTCAGACGCTGCATCTAGTCACGTCGCGGAATGCCGCAGCATGGGATGAACTGCAGTTCCGCACCCATCCCAAACGCCGCGGCTCCACGAGCCGACCGGGAAAATGGACATGATGGTGTTATGACATTGCTTAGCGTCTCTCAGAGCCCAAGGATTGGCAGGATGGCCGAGTAGGTGCCAAAGACAAAGAGGAAGAGGCCCAAAGCCAAGAAGGAAACACTCCAGAGGATCTCTTTGTTGAACCAGGAGAAGTTCTGCTCATCCTGGATGTTACTACTCCGAGTCAAAAAAGTTGACCAGCTGTTCGAGAGACATGTTTTTTTCTTATGGGCACCTCCAGAGGCTTCAGAAGATGTTAGGAGTGTTGACTTGGAGGCGTTTGGGATACTCAAGCAACTCCACAAACACAAGGTCGACAAATACCCCTTTGCTCTTTGAGCAGAAGGCAAAACATGACCCTGAAAGAAATTCAAGCAGGCCCGGCGCACGCCAGGATGGGTGCACAAAAAGTCTACCACTGTATGCCTCAATTTGTTACACTTGGTTCGACTTTATCGTTTGAAGGCACCATCCGCGCTTGACACACGGCTGCGCGCATCCTGTCCTTGCGCCGGAGCGCGATGATCCACATGGGGGGCACCATGAAACCTCAGAGCGTCATGAGACTCCCAGTGCAAAGCTAAATTTGTGCCTTTTAGCGGGTCCGTTTTTTCAAGGGACTTCACTAAGTCTAAGCATCTTGTACATCCTGGTGAATTAGTCCTTGGGGTTCTTCGAGCAGGAAACATCGAAAATGAAAGGAACAGCCTGCCCCACCCTGACCACCCAGACCCTCTCGCCCACCACACGCCCCAGCCACTGATGTAGGCAGCACCAAAGGCCCCGATGAAGTCCAGCATGGCCCGGAGGCTGGTAATAACCTTCACTGAATAGGAACATGGTGGAAACGAATGCTCTTTTTTCTAAGATAGAACCCCAACAGTAAACTGTTTGGGGAATGACTTCACTTGCCAACTACCATGGTGAAGCTCGAACCAAAACGATGCAATATCCTAAATCACCTCATCCAGGTGACCACCGCGATGAGGACCACCAGGCAGACCGAGCCCAAGGCACAGAAAATGTCGTACCACCGCGTCAAGCTACGTCCGAAGTAGACCACGTCCTCAGCTAATGGTGGGGATGGTGGCCGGTCTTGGGGAGGTTGGGAAGCAGTCTGATCGGTTCCCGTGGTGTGTTCTGATGGCCAATCATAGGTGAAACCCTTGGTGAACCAGATGGGTCCCAAAATGGACTGTGAGGGATGTGAATCCAGGCAGGTTGACCGATACCCACATCATGTTGTGAGGCAAACCTCTTTTGATGGATGGTCTTGTTCCTGTCTCTTGGCTGTTCTATTTTGATAGCTAGTGGTGCTCTTCAAATCCTAAGCATCAGCCATCCAATCAGCGGTGTCTTGGAGATAGGAGCCTGCCAAAAGTTCTCTAATTTGCACTCAAAACGACCACTGGAGAAAAACGAAGTGCCGTACATCCCTAAAACCTGAACATGGACCACTGCAACATCTACAAAAACCGGCTGCAGTGATCTACAGGATGGAATTACGAAAAGCATTGCCAAAGGGGCAGAGCAAACGACCACTGGTGAAGGGAAAGCCAAAAAAGTTTTTAAACAACAAAACCTTGGCGTTGTCCCCCGTGACCACAGGACCTGACAATGTCCTGCCTCCCAGCTTCTGCCTTCTCATCGTCGGAGCTGCAACCGCGCGCCTTGCGCACCAGATATGCCAAGAACTGCTGGATAGGATAGATGTGGAGTTGGAAGCCTCGGCACCAGCAGTTGAGGCATCGATCTCTATCTGGGGAATCACTGTATACAGTATGTGTACATGTCGCCATGGTTCGCACATGAACTGAAGTTAACCCACTGAAAGCCTTGAACAGTCAAGCTGTGGTAATCCTTGATGAGGCTACGGAGTGAAGCGTCAAGAGCTTAAGTGAAAAGTGGATGGTTTACTACCTGAATCCCTCAAGAACAGTCAAGATGCCGGGCCAATTGGAAACAGCCTACTTGCATCGCTTCATTCTAGTCAGGAAAGCACATTGGAAGTTGGAAGCCTTTGACTCAGGAGTCATGAGGTGTTCGAGTTGTGCCTCCTTCTGGCTGTCTCAAACCAGCGATGTTGGGGGCACAAAGACATGTTGCTCAGGGGAACTTTAAAATGCACATACCGAAGGTCCCAAGACAATGAAGGAAATCCAAGTCCTTTTACATCTCTAGAACCATTTGTGTTGGGCAAGAAGCCAACGAAAAACAGTTCTCAAAAGACAGGCAGAACTGAGCAAGCTTGCATTGCAAAGACCAATGGTTTGGCTTGATGATGCCACGTCTGGAATGGAGTACAAAAAACTTATGTGTAAAATATAGAGAGCT